TAGAGAAGTTCTACGATTTGGTAGACTTAGGTATATTAGCTGTACGTGCTGCGCAAGTCGAGTATCCCCCAGTAGAGCTGTACATGTGCATCATGTCGTACCTCTGCCCTAGGCTAGTCAAGGCTAATAAGATCTACAGTGACCTGATCGTTCCTGACAATGGGATGGTACCAGGATGCGGGAAAGCTAACCACGGAGCCCGAGCACTACTCTATCATGTGCTAGAAGAAGTACACCTAGCCGTCCCGATAGCGAGGTTGAGACAGTTCGTGGACGACATCACCGTGAGGGTCGAGGGCCCTGACGACGTGGTAGGTGCAGCGGTGTCGAAAGCAGCGAGTGTCCTGGTTGGAGGCTGCCTCAAGGCGAGGCTCAGGATCTCCGACAAGTCTACCATCCTTGCCCAGAACCCCCAGGACGCCCTGGAGGTGGAGAGGTCCCTGGCCGAGTTTAATATTTCCATCAAGAAAGGCAAGGAGATGAAGGACCTGGGGACCGACAACACCATGGGGATACGCAGATCCAGGAAAACGGCGACAAGAAGGAGTAGACTCGGCAAAATTCGGGCCACCAGGGCCGGTTTATTCGCTAGTTTGGGACGGGCCCGACGTAAGAAGAGCAAGCTCCTATTTAATGCTAACGTGCGGGCTAAGATGTCCTACGATAGCCCTCTCTTTGGCCTCCCCCCGTCCGAAATCCGAAAGCGGAGAGCCCTGGCCGCGGATTTAGCTGGTTTTGGAAAGAAGGGCCGCTGCACCGCGATGGTTATGCTGCTGATGTATGGGGAGGGGGACCCTTGGGCTGCGTGCGTGAAGCGCCAGGCCAAAGAGTGGCTCATTTTCTGGGCCAACAACCCCACCCTCAGGCAGCAGGTTCGGAGGGGGTGGACGGCCACTAAGTTTAAGCTTGCTAGGTTGAAGCCCCGATCCCGATGGCGAGCTGTAACGGGGCCTATGGGGGCCTTGTTGCTCACCCTTCGGTCCCTGGGATGGGTCGGGGTTGAGCCTGACGTTTGGGAGGACCCCGACGGTTCGCAGTGGCGCTTCAACCCCGACCTGTCCGATGATGTGACCGAAATTAGTGATGCTTTGGCCCAGTCAGTTCAGAAGCAGTTGTGGAAGCAAGCCTCCGTGCACAGTGAAGGAGCCTGCCTCAAGGACGGGGGGGACCTCACCATGTTGCAAACTAATGTCAAGCGTATGCATAAGAAAGATATGTATCAGGAAGCTGGCGCCCTGGAGGGGATAGCGTGTGCCACAATTTGGAATGGAGATCGTCAGAAGCGAGCTGGCTATCAGACAGACGGCATGTGCACTAGGTGTGATCTAGGGGCCCCAGATTCCACGCGTCATAGGACCTACGAGTGCCCCAGTCTGGCCCAGTTGGAGCATCCTTGGATTGCCAGAACGGGACACTTGTGCGAGCGAGCGATCCGCGACCTCGGCCGAGGGGTTAACGAATCGCTCTGGCTCCGAGGGATCGTTCCCCTTTCATGGAATCCTGTTCCACCCCCACCAGAGTGGGGGGATGTGAGTGCCTGGCGTGTTAGAGCCGTTGACACCCCGCCACCCGCCATCGGTCCCAATGGAGAAGTGACGCCAGCCCGAAGGCTGGAGGCGAGGTTTGGTTTTATGGATGGTTCTGGCACGTCGTCGGACCCGCGTGTGGCGCGAGTCGGGTGGGGCGTCTATCTCCAGTTGGGACCGCATGGCCCTCCTGCCCCTGGAGCTTCGGACCCTTCCCCTCCCCTCCCTGGGTGGTACGGGGGAGTCGACGGCCGCCAGACCGTCCCAGCAGCAGAGCTCGCCGCCTTGTGGTGGTGTTTGGAGCTCACAATTGGGGATATAGTTATATATACTGATAACCAGGCTGTCTTTGATGGGTGGCACGGGGGTAAGCTTGACAACCCCAGTGGGGTGCTCAGGGGGTGGTGGCAGAGGATCAGAGCTGCTACCCTTTCTCGCCCTGGGGTTGTCATCCTCCGAAAGTGTTTTTCCCACCTTGATTCCCATTCCCACCTCCTGTCCTCCCAGCCTCCCTCTGTCTCCCGTGGGAATGAGTTGGCCGACGCCTACGCCCAGAGAGGGGCTGAGGAGGCGAGCGCTCCCATCAGGGGAGAAATCAAGGCCTTAGGCGTCGCGGACGCCTGCGCCACCCTCGCCCAGCAGCGCTTGGCGGCGGTGACCAGGGAGCTCGCGGCGCAGGACCGCGAGCATTGTGCACGGACTCCCGAGGGGGGAGGGGGGGCTGCTTCCAGGCGGGTTGTCGAGCTCGAGCGAGTGTCGGGCCACCACTTGGGGCGGCTGCCCAATGGGGCGTGGCTGTGTCGTCGGTGCCGTCAGGGTCCGCCCCCAGGGTCGTCGCTTGTGGACTGGCTCGGGCTCGAAGATAACCGCTGTAAGGGGGACCCCACCCTGCGGCACCTGAGCGAGAATGATAATGTTGTGCTCGTGCCCCGCCCTGTGACCACGGAGTTGAGGACGGCCACTAAGCATGTCCACCCCTCCCATTGCGTGGCCATGCGTAACGGGCAAGTGTGGTGTTGGAAATGCGCCAGTCTGGGCACCGTGGTGAATGGGGGGGGCCGTCTCTTGCTCCTAGCGGAGCCGTGCCGAGAATGGACCACCCCCTCGGGAGATAATTATCTTAGTAGATTGGGCAAGGGGCTCCCACCCAAGGGCAACAAGTGGCCCAATGACAAGGGAGCTGGGCGCCTCCGGGTGGAGGCAGGTTCGAGTGTAATCCAGTCATTTTTGAAACCCAAGTCTCGGAGATAGTGTGCTATCGAGAGCCGCCCCCCGAGGGGGGGGTGTAATTGTCCAGCTGTGGCCTCGCTGCTGACTGGCACCCTTCAGCATTCTCCCAGCATTCTCCTACTCCTGCTCCTCCTACTCCTCCTACTCCTCCCTCCTCCTCCCTCCTCCTCCTCCACCTCCTCCACCTCCTCCCCCTCCTCCTCCTCCTCTTCCTCCTCCTCCTCCTCCTCCTCCTCCCCCTCCTCCCCTTCTCCCCCCTCCCCCTCCCGCCTTTTCCTCCTTCCTCCCTTCTCCTCCTCCTCCTCCTCCTCCTCCTCCTCCTCCTCCTCTGCCGCTCCGCCTCCATTCCTCCATGTCCTCATTCCTCCATTCCTCCATTCCTCCATTCCTTCTCTCTTCCATTCCATCATTCCTATTCTCCTTCCTCCCTCCTCCTCCTCCTCCCTCTCCTCCTCCTCCTTCTCCCTTCTCCTCCTCCCTCCTCCCTCCTCCCTCCTCCCATCCTCCCTCCTCCTCCTCCCTCCCCCCCTCCTCCCTCCGGGCCTCCTCTCTCCTCTCCTCCCTCCCTCTCTCCTCCCTTCCTCCTTTCCGCTCCTCATCCTCCAACTCCTCTTCCTCCTCCTCCTCCCCGTCCTCCTCCTCCTTCTCCTTCTCAGGGTCCACTGGTGCTGGTCGTTCAATGGGGGGGCGCTTCTGGCAGCGTCAAGGTAAGCCTGTGAGGACGCATGCGGGGAAGGGGCTGGGGACGGGAGGCTGTGTATTGCAGCGTCGCCGATGCATCTTAGGTTTCCTGTGGTCCTCCTCCATCTACTCCTCCCCCTCCTCCTCCTCCCCCCCCCTCGTCCTCCTCCTCCTCCCTCCTTCTCCTCCTCTCCTCCTCCCCTCCTCTCCTCCTCCTCCTCCTCCTGCTCCTCCTCCTCCTCCACCCCCGCCCTCACTTCCTCCACATCCTCCACTTCTTTCACTTCCTCCACCTCCACTTCCTCCACCTTATTATTCTTCTTATTCTTCTCCTCATCCTCCTCCTCCTCATCATCATCCTCCTCCTCTTCCTCCTCAAAAACTTCGCACCAAATCCTTCTCAAGATCGGTGCCGGGAACCCTAACATTGGGGCCCACCCCTGCCCAAGGCGCCTCGAGCCGTGGTCAGGACGCCCAAAACATCACCAACAAAAACATCAGGACGACGACGACGACGATTCCCTTCCTCCTCCTCCTCCTCCTGCACCTCGTCCTCCTCCTCCTCCTCGTCCTCCTCCTCTTCCTCCTCCTCCTCCTCTACCCTCCTCTCTCATTCCCTCCCTCTTCATCGTCATCCTTCCTCCTCCTCCTCCTCCTCTTCCTCCTCCTCTTAACTGCCTTCGTCGACTGCTTCTCCTCCTGCCCTCCCCTCCCCCTCCCCCTCCTCCTCCTCCTCCTCCTCCTCTCTCCTCCTCATCCTCTCCTCCTCCTCTACCCTCCTCTTTCCTCTCTCAATCCCTCCCTCTTCCTCTTCATCTCTCCTCCTCCTCCTCATCATACCTCCTCCTTCCTCCTAATCCTCCTCTTAACACTCCTACAACCACTTCTCCTCCTCCTTCTCCTCATCCTCCTCCTCCTCCTCCTCCTCCTCCTCCTCCTCCTCCTCCTCCTCCTCCTCCTCCTCCCCTTCCCCTAATCCTCTCCTCCTCCTTCCTCCTCCTCCTCCTCCTCCTCCTCCTCCTCCCCCTTCCCCCTTCCTCCTCCTCCTCCTCTCCTCCTCCTCCTCCTCCTCCTCCTCCTCCTCCGCCTCCTCCTCCTCCCTCCTCCTCCTCCCTCCTCCTCCTCCTCCTCCTCCTCCTCCTCCTCCTCCTCCTCCTCCTCCTCCTACCTCAACTTCCCCCTCCACCTCCTCCTCCTCCTCCTCCTCCTCCTCCTCCCTCCTCTCTCCTCCTCCTCCTCCCCTCCTCCTCCTCCTCCTCCTCCTCCTCCTCCCCCTCCCCCTCCTCCTCCTCCTCCACCTCCTCCTCCTCCTCCTCCTCTCCTTCTCTTCCTCCTCCGCCTCCTCCGCCTCCTCCTCCTCCTCCTCCTCCTCTGCTCCTCCTCCTCCTCCTCCTCCCCTCCGCCCCCTGCCTCATCCTCCCCCTCCTCCTCCTCCCCCTCGTCCTCCTCCTCCTCCTCCTCCTCCTCTTCCTCCTCCTTTCTCCTCTTCTCCTCCTCCCTCCTCCGTCCGTTACCTCCTTGCTCGGGCTCTCGTGCCCCGCCCCTCATGTTGGCGGGGGCGGGGGTCCGGATCTCGAAGGACACGATCTTGTCCTGCACCTCCAGGCGGCAGTCGCGCGCGCGCCGTGCGGCGCGCGGGCTGCACCAGAGTGCTCGCCCCCCTTACGAGGCAACGGCTGGGAGGTCTTCGTCGAAAGGATTAAGGAGTCTTCTTCTTCTTCTTCGTCTTCGTCTTCTTCGCCCTGAATCGTTTCTCTTCGTCTTCTTCGGAAAGATTAAGGGAGGTTCTTCTTCGTCTTCGTCTTCTTCTTCGTCGAAAAGATTGAGGAGGATGAAGCCCCATTGCGGGGCTGTTACGCCAGAGTGGGCCTCGGATCAAACGGGATGAAGCCGGATTAAGCGGGATTCATCCGGACTAAGCGGGATTCAGCCGGATTAATCCGGATTAAGCTGGACTTCGGACCAGGCTAACATCAGAATTTGACCTCCCAGGAGTTGCATCCGAACCCCTCGTTGTCCTTCGAGGCTACCTAGCCTCTCCCTGCGGGGGGCAGGGTGACGAGGAAGGTTTCGGGTTTGAGGTTCGACGTCTCGGGACGCTTCGTCGGCTCTCGGCGGCTTTCCGGCCTCGAGGCGGTTTCCAGCAGCTGCGCCTCGCCGAGGGCGTTCCAGAAGTGCTGGGATCCGCCCGAAAAGCCGCTGGGGGCCCGAGCTATGGCCCGGAAACCATCTGGATAATGTCTGCTGCAAGAACTATGCTGGCTAGGCCTAGCCGCGAACAGCCGTCAGTAACAGTGGCGGGGCGGGCGCAACGATTTCGGGTGCTTACCCCTGCCAGTTCATGCTCCCTGTCGGAGCCGCGAGACAAGTAAGCCAGCAGCTGAGCTGGCACTCCTGCTGCACGGGCCCTCCTATCCGATGTGGCGACGGCGTCCGGGGAGGGAGGGGAAGCGGGAGGGGCGGGGAAGGACGGGAAGAGGAAAGAGGGAGATGAGGGAGGGACAAGCTAGGTGCGCTCGCGCCTTATCTGAAATCCACCCCTCCCACCCCACACTTCCCATTGCTGGTCTTTGTTAGCTATCCGCCGACGGTTTCGATAGCGGATGTGAAGCCCCAAATGAACCCATGTCGTATGCCCAATGAGAGGGGATGGGGGAGAGGAGGATGAGTAGGAGGAAGACCAGAATGAGCACAAGATGCATCGACGAAGCTGCAGTACACCCTCTCGATCCAAGTCACGTCCCCAGTAATCCCCAAGAGCTTTCTTCTTCACTGCTCGAAACGCCCCCTTGCAATATGAACGACAATGAGACACGGTGGCTTCGTGAAATTCACCCACAACGTACCTCACGAAGTCTCAACCGGGAATTCCATTCTCTCAAGATTCGCCATTCAACCGTGTGTCAATTGCAATGATACGTGCTGGCAATGCTTCAGACCGTTGTGCGGCACGCCGAAAAACGAGTCCCATTTTGAAAACGATTCGCCCTCCATCCGTGTAAACTTATGTCGGGCGTGTCCCCTACAGGGGGATGTTCGACAACAAATAACTTTACCTCCAAAATATTCCAAAAAGGTCAAAAAAAACTAAAAAAAAATCACCAGGCAATTTTTGGACAATTTTTAGGGTATGTTTTATTTTTCGTCGAAAATTCCCCTGTAGGGGGACAGGCCCGACGTAAGTGTAAGCAATTGCTGGACTCCTACCAAATCGCAATCGGTGGAGAAAGTTCGAGCGAAGCGCCCGGCTCGCCCTTAACGACACGTCTGGTGGTGCGACAGGCAGGAACCGCTCAGAAGGAACTCTGGGGAGGTCCCCCAACCCTCCTGCCGACTTCTCCTTCCCCTGATCCATCGCTCCCTCCCACCGTCTCCACCCATCTCTTTCTCCTCCCACCGCCTCCACTTCCTCCTCCCCATCCTCGTCCCACGCCATACTCCCACCCCTCTGCCCACACCTCCAATCCTCTCCTCCGCCTCCTCCTCCTCCTCCTCCTCCTCCTCCTCCTCCTCCTCCTCCGCCCCTCCCCCCTCTCTCCAGCCCCAACCCCAGATCTCCCCCCCGGCCGTGTCACAGGCCCCCCCCCCCTCGCCGGAAGGACGCCGACCCTCCCAGGCCTGCAGCAGGCCCCGTCACGACGGCACGGGAGGCGGCCCCGGGCTCCTGCCGCCCTCGCGAGCTCGTGCTCTGGGCATCTTCTTCGGGTGCAGGGCTCCTCCAGCCTCCATCCTCCTCCTCCCTCCTCCTCCTCCTCCTCCTCCTCCTCCTCACTCTCCTCCTCCTCCTCTCCCTCCCTCCCTCCCTCCCTCCCTCCCTCCCTCCCTCCCTCCCTCCCTCCCGCCTACTGGTCTGGTGACTTGCAGGATGAGCCGCACGTTTTGCATCGGCATGCGCGCGCGATGCGTCCGTAGCCACTTTGGCTCACATAGCCATTTTGGCTCAAGACTCAATCAGGGCCCCATAGACCCAGACACGCTAGACCCAGACACCCAACATCCCTCGAAACCAACTTTTCCAAACGGCGGCACGAACAAAATACTGCACCGCAGCATTTCCAGAATAAACCCGGACACAGGCCCGAAAAGCCTGCAAGACAACACTAAACCCGGACACAAACCCGAATCCTGCAGCGCAACAAACGAAAAACGTGCACGGGGCGCTGAAGAAGCGTGACGTTGCAGGACAGGATGTCGTTTCCTTGGTTTTCCGTGTCCTGGTTTATCTGTGTCCTGGTCTCTGGGGGCCTGACGATGCCCTTCGCTCTCCCTGCCTCCCGCCCGCCGATACGATCGATCGGCCGCGAGCGGGGGGGGGGAGAGTGTTCGGTCGGGCCTGTCCCCCTACAGGGGGACCCTGGACGCCAACAGTAGAACTACCCAAACAATACTCCAACATGGTGAAATGTGCTTTCCTTGGTTTTCCGTGTCCTTCCTTGATTTCCTTGGTCTTTCCGTGTCCTGGTTTATGTCGTTTCCTTGGCTTTCCGTGTCCTGGTTTATCTGTGTCCTGGTCTCTGGCTCGAGCTCGAGGTTTACCTGTGTCCTGGTTTATCTGTGTCCTGGTCAAGGCCACTCTGGCTCGAGCTGCCAAAGGGACCGGACGGGCTGCGCGGGCCGTGCGGGGCGCCTCTGGGCGCGCCCGACGCCCCTGCGCCGCGCGCAGTGGCAGGGCCCAGCCTCCCGGCCCTCCGGAGGGCTGGGCGTGAACCTGGCGTTATGTCGGGCGTGTCCCCTACAGGGGGATTTTCGACGAAAAATCAAACATACTCTAAACATACCCCAAAAAGGTCAAAAAAAAAAAAAAAAAAAAAAAAAAAAAAAAAAGTCCCCAGATTAAATTTTGGACTATTTGTGATTATTTTTGCTGTATATTTCATTTTTCGTCGAAAATCCCCCTGTAGGGGGACAGGCCCGACTTAAACCTGGCTCCCCGTGCCGATCTGGGTCCGACGCCCCGCCGCCGCCACCGCCGCCGGCAGGAGCGCGCGCGCGCCCCCGGGGCAGCGCGGCGGCGCCAGGGTCATCGACCCGGCCCCGGGCTGCGGGCGCGGCGTCAACGACTGGTGCCAACCCTAAGTCGGGCCTGTCCTTCTACAGGAGGACTACCCAAATAGCACAAAAAATAAGATTGGGACGATGTGTTTGACCCTTTTTTGGCTGTTTCGGGGCATTTTTCTGATACTTTTCATTTTTCGTCCAAAATCGGCCTGTAGGGGGACAGGCCCGACTTAATGTTAAGTCGGGCCTGTCCCCCTACACGGGGGTTTTCGACGAAAAATAACAACTACCCAAAAAATACACCAAAAAGGTCAAACAATACCCAAAAAATAGTCCCCAGAATATTCTTGGACTATTTTTGGGGGTACCTTTTATTTTCTGAATTTCTGAATCTTCGGCCTCTGGGGGCCCTCGCCGGGCCTCGGGAGCGTCAACCAAACGACTCAGGATGCAGAGCCGGCCCTGGGGAACGGGTCGGGACCTCTGGGGGTCGACGCAGTGGAAAACTCCTGACCGCTGCCTCCCCTCCCCTCCATCGGTCCTCGATCTGCCCTCCTCGATCAGCCCTCCCCTACCCCCCCTCTCCTCCCGCACCCATGTATCTTTCAACTGCTTACCTCCACTCCCCCTCTCCATCCCCAGACCCCCGACGTAATGATTTTTTCATTACGTCGACCCCCAGAGACCCCGACCCTTTCCCCAGGACCCGCTTTGCATCCTGAGTCGGTTTTTGACGCTCCCGAGGCCCGGTGAGGGCCCCTGGAGGTCGACAATTTGGAAAAACCTCCCGTCATGATGTTTTCATGGCCCGAGGGGGTCTGGGCCCCCCCTCTCCCGACGGCACCTGTGCCAGAACACCCGCCGCCACCTCGTGTCGTCCGCCGCGTCGTCCGCCGCCCGCCCTCCCCATTCCCCTCCCCGCGCCGCCCCGCCGCGTCGTCTGTCGAGGGCCGCGGGCGTCGGTCGTGCCGTGCCGCCCGTGCTCCGCCCGCGCCGGCAGCGCAGCAGCTGGCCATCGCTCGGACGTCCATTCCCTGTGTTTTTGTTCGGTTTCGCGCGTGGTTTTTCTTTCGCCAAAGGATCGAGGATGCTCCTCGATGGTCCTCGCCGAGAAAAGAAAATGCACACGTCCGAGCGATGCCAGGACAGACAAAAAGAGGAGCGCGCCGCGCTCGGCTCTCAGAGTGCGGCGCTGCCCCACGGGGACGAGCAGCCATGACGAACCAACAACACACACCCATACCCATAGGGGGGTCGGAGAGGGCTACGGGTGCGTGTTGTCGGATGGGGGTCCCCGCTCGAACGGGAGCGTTCCCCAGGGTCCGACAACCCGCACCCGTACCCACAGCCAGTCCTCCTCCCAACGACCCCCCTATGGGTATGGGCGTGTGTTGCTCGTTCGTCAAGCCAGGGATCTCCGTGGCCCCGGCAGCCCCTCCAGCGGAAGGGGAGCGCTCGCGCGGCGCCTGCCGGGCGCGCGACGGGCGCCCGACGGAGCTTTCGCCCTCGATGCCTCCTTATGCTTCTTGAGCGCGCGTGGCGGCGCTAGAACTAGGTCGGGCATGTCCCCCTACAGGGGGATTTGAGGCGAAAAATAAAAAATACACCAAAAATTCTCCCAAATAGGCAGAAGTATTGAAAAAGTCGTCCCCAGACTAGTTTTTTTGAATTATTTTTGTGCAGTCCTCCTGTAGAGGGACAGGCCCGACTTAACGCTAGAACTTTGTAACTTTGTTCTGCGTTCTGGAACGCCGTTCCTGGACCCCCGACGCCATGACTTCTTCCGGACGTCGACCCCCAGAAAGGTATCGACCCATTCCCCGGGACCGGCTTCTCACCCTGCGTCGTTTTGCGACGGGCCCGAGGCCCGGCGAAGGCCCCCCAGAGGCCGACGACAGCGAAAAAACCCGTCGTCGTGATTTGTTCACTGCGCGAGGGGGTCTGGGTTGGCCCTTCTCGCATCCCTGTTGTCGGCGACACGTGCGCGGACTAAGTGGGCGCAGGGTGGCCAAATCCAGGCGCGCAAGCAGCCACTATCGCATCGCGCTCAGCGCTCGGGGGGACCCCGGTGAGCCCGCACCAGAGGTCACTCCGGCGAAGGGTCACTCCTACGTGTAGCCGACTTTTTTTCCCCGACACGCTCGTGTCTGGGCCGCCCGTGCCGTCCGACCGGCCTTCCCCGGGCCCTCTGCCCAAACTACAACAAAAAAATCACAAAATACTTATTAAAATAGTCCCCGCACTATTTTTGGACTATTTTTTGCTTAGTTTGGGAATCTTTTTTCTTTTCGTCGAAATTTCCCCTGTAGGGGGACACGCCCGACTTCACGCTCGTGTCTGGGCCGCCCGTGCCCTCCGACCGGCCTTCTGCCCTGGCGCCTCCCCGGGCCCTCTGCCCTGGCGCCTCCCTGGGCCTCGGAGGCCTCCCGGCCGGCCTCGGCGCCGCCCGGCCGACCGCTCCCAGGCACGAGGCCCGGGCCCTCCTTCCTCGTCCCCCTCCCTTATCCCTCCTCCTCCTCCTCCTCCTCCTTGTCCTCCTCGTCCTCCTGCTCCTGCTCCTGCTCCTGCTCCTGCTCCTCCTCCTGCTCCTCCTGCTCCTCCTCCTCCTCCTCCTCCTCCTCCTCCTCCTCCTCCTCCTCCTCCTCCTCCTACGTGTAGTCGACTGTTGGCGGTGGACGCGGAACCGCGTGCAAAACAGGCCGCCGGTCGAGCTTCGAGCGGGCACCGCGGTGCAGCCCGGTGCGGCGCCCGCGGGGCGCGGGCCTGCGTCGGCGCAGGAGGTCTCGCTTGCAGCAGCGCTGCCGCGGCCTTGCCCGCAAAGGTCTTGTTGCAAAAGTCGATGTTAGCGGCGCGCACAGGGGGGTATGGGGAGGGGGGAAGGCTTCTTAGAAGCACCCCTGCTTCTTAGAAGGCGCGGGCCTTGTCTACAAATGTAAGGCCGGCGCCTTCTAAGAAGCAGCCTCCTTCTAAGAAGCCTTCCCCCCTCCCCCTACCCCCCTCTGCGCGCCGCCAACGATGTGTCTGGACGCCCGGAATCGATACGGGAGTCATGGGTACACTGTCCAACAAGAGAGACTGCCCAAAACAGACCACGGCCGCTGCTGGGCAGGCGGAATTTCGTCTTCAATGAACAGCGTCCGCGGCGGCGCGGACAGCGAGTCCTGTTCAAAATGAACCGGGACTGCCTTTGGGCATTGTGCCCATTCTTTCCGTACCCATTTCGATCGTCCCTAGAATGGGGGGGCAGGTCTGCAGAACACCCCAAACAACGAACTCCAAGGGATGCAACCACCCTGTTCTGTCGAGCTGAAGTTGATGCAGCACACCCGGAGTCAAAGCAAAACTGTGGACATGAGCGAGTGGTTGGACGTAGCGCATCTTCAGCGTGATCGGCGCGGCGTTTGGACCGCCTCGACGTCCCTGTTTGGTGGTCCTGCAGGGGAAGGCGCTCCCTGACCCTCGGCGCTGCTCAAGCGAGAAGCCTCCGCTGCTCGGAGCCCCCGGCATGGGGCGCGCGTGAAGGCACGATACGACTGGTTCAGGACGCGCTCCAAACTACACCACGCGAAATGGTTAAGAAATCATGGGTTAAGAAATTCATGGGTCTCAGAACTTGCATAAAAAACCAAACATTTCTATCAAAATCTTAGGATCTACATGGAAACGTTAAGAATCATCGAGCTCCTGGCCGAAAACTTACTCCAGATTTCGTAATAAAAGGGAGGGGGTCTCATTTCGGGGGGGGTCTCTTCCAGGCTATCTTGGAGGGCCTGGGGGGGTCTGGGGACGATGTTTTGGAGGGTTCTCCCACGGGTGAGGTCTGAAATGGCTTGTCTTGGAGGGTCCAGACCCCCTCCCTTTTATTACGAAATCTGGAGTAAGCATCGCCTAAGGTGCACAGGAATCCTAGAACATCTGGCCTCTTAGCGGCCCTCGCTTCTGCAACCCGTGTGGAGCGTCAGGTGATCTTCGAAAAATCCGGGCAGCCTTGGAACGCGTTATCATGAAGGGGCCCCAGGACACACAAATAAATACACACAAATAAAAATATTCCCCATATTTTCCCATATTTTCTGGGTTTCTGTCTTCCCCCCCTCTTCCCATATTTTCCCATACTTTCTGGGGAATCGACGATTCATTGTGTCTGTGTGTTTTTTCCTCTCCTGAACCAGGTGATCCTCGAAATCCGGGCAGCCTTGGAACGCGTTATTCTCGTGTCCGCCTGCCCTTCTGACAGAGGGCCGCCAGGGCCGCATCCCACGCCGGAGCGGCCTCTTGGCACGACCCGCGCGGCGCGCCGCCAGGCAGCAGCTCGGGGGGACTCCCAGGCGAGTCCTGACGCCGGCGCGGCGTCGGCCCGGGGTCTTCAGCCCCGAGAGGCCAAAGCCTGAGCGGCCCCCGCGACGACACGTCGCGAGCCTGGCGTGCACCGATCCTGGCCAGGCCCATCCGAGGCCCAGCATCCTCCTCCTGCTCCGTCCTCCTCCTCCTCCAGCATCCTCATCCGCTCCTTCCCTACCTGCTCCTTCTCCTTCTCGTCCTCGTCCTCCTCCTCCTCCTCCTCCTCCTCCTCCTCCTCCTCCTCCTCCCCTCCTCCTACTCGACCTCACAATCCTCGTTCTCCTCACTCTCCTCGGGGGATCGGCGACGGTCCCCCCCGCCGCAAGAAACAGCTCCCTCCCTCCCTCTGTCCGTCCTGCGCTCTCCCTGGAAGGGAGGCAAGGGGACGACTGATGGAGCCAGTCGAGGGGCTGCTTAGATATCATCTCGTAGACTAGATGAGGGTGTGATGGGATGGGATGATGGGAGCAGGGAAGATGAGGCAACTACTTGGAGGTCTTTGTCGAAAGGCTTAGGGAGGATTGAGCCCCATCGGGGGGGGTGCTACGCCGGATTAGGCCGCGGATTAAGCGGGATTCAGCCATATGAAACGGGATTAAGCCGGATTTCGGACCAGGGCAAAGTCAGAGTTCGACCTCCCAGAAGTTGCATCAGAAAAGATGTGTTGTGGATCAGGAAAAAGCTCGGAGATCTGCGCAGACCAAAGATAAACTGCATGTGTGTTTCAAGAGTTGCAGGTGCATTCAAAAGGTGTTGGTGGCCGTCGGGCTCTGCCGGCTTTGAATGAGGACGAGTCGTGACGATCCCAGGGACCTGGACGGGCCCGGAGAGGCCGAAAACAGCGGCACGCCTTAGGACCCCGTTTCTCCAGGGCACCGTATCTTGGCGGTGCGCAGAGGGGGGTATAGGGGGAGGGGGGAAGGCTTCTTAGAAGGAGGCTGCTTCTTAGAAGGCGCCGGCTTTTACATCTGTAGAGAAGGCCCGCGCTTTCTAAGCACCCGGGGTGGTTCTAAGTAATAATCGGGGGGAACGACAGGGGGGGATAGCAAAAGGTAGGGTCGAGAATCAGCTCGCGTAGCTGATTTTCCCAGCGCCTCCCGGCGCTGGGAGGCGCCCATGTATCGAGGAATGGGCCCGGCGACGGGGCCGAAACCAGCTGCATGCAGCAGATTTCGTACCCCCCCCGTTCCCTATCCCCCCCTTTCGTTCGGCCCGAAGGAAGCCATCCACCCTCCCCCTATCCCCCTCCGCGCGCGGCTGATCATCTTCGTGCTCGGGTCCACCCTCCCATAACCGGTCCTGGGGTACGTGCTGACCAGAATTTTGAAGGGAACACCCCGCCTCGGCAACGAGGAGGCTCCTCCCAGAGGCCCGACATTTGTTGGAAACTCGGAGCGGACGAGCAGGGGGGACAGCAAAAGGGGGCGTTAGCGATAGGAGGAGGAGGAAGAGGAGAAGGAGGAGGAAGAGGAGGTCATTTAGCCAGTTTTCCCGGCGCTGGAGGTGCCAAGTGTATCGAGGAAAGCGCCCGTCGGTGCGACTGAAACCAGCTGCGTACAGCATACGTCGTGCCAACCCTTTCACACCGCCCCCCCTTCGCGTCCGAACCTGGAAAAATGCCTTCGAGGTGCACCCCGTCCCTGGGAACCCCCTGTCCTCAATCTGGGGGCCCCGACCGGTGTGGTGACCAGACCGTGCGGCGAATCCTTTGGGACTCGTGGTGACCGCACGGCTTTGGGACATGGGTCGCTGTCCGAGGAGGTCAGGGTCAACTGGGGCCTCCGAGGTCCCAGCACGGCGCTGTGACGGACCGTGCGCTGAGGTCTCTTGGGATTTCGATTGCACGTAGCGGTCTGTCACCGCACCGTGCTGGGACCCCCCCGGATTCTCAATGGTGCCGGGGCGGCGGCGCCAGGAGGGGGTGCGGGGCGGTGCCTTGCCCTTCTCCTGGTCCCGCAGCTCCGGCGGAAGCTCGCCCTTCGGGAAGAAGACGTCCTTCCAGGAGGAGGCCGCCCGAGTCATCGTCGTCGTCGTCCTCCTCCTCCTTCCCCTCCCCCTCTTCCTCCTCCTCCTCCTCCTACTCCTCCTCATCCTCCTCCTCCTCCTCCTCCTCCTCCTCCTCCTCCTCCTCCTCCTCCTCCTCCTCCTCCTCCTCCTCCTTCCTCCTCCCCCTCCCCCTCCTCCTCCTCCTCCACCTCTTCCTCCTCCTCCTCCTCCTCCTCCT